TTAATTGCAAGTATACGATGCCAATTAAACTAGTAAAGTGGACTTAAGAGTATATAGGATTATTGTTTCCATGAGGGTTAACTATTTAATAATTAATTTAATTATTCATGACCTCTATTTGAATAAAGCAAACATTGATGACAAGATTTGATTAAACTAATATTAACTAAGAAAAATAAAAGCAATCAAATGAACAAATATGATGGTTAAAACGTTTCGACTCACAATTCACAGTAGTTATTCCCTTTAATTTCGTTGCTCAAGTTCAATTCCTAGGTTGTACTCGATCTAAGCCATTGATTAAATCAATTTACCTTTCTTGAGTTCAAATCAATTCTATCCAGCTGAGTCAACTTACTATTTCTCTATGTAAATTTGAATAAGCCTACATTAAACACATTAAATCATCTAGGAATTCAATTAAAGACTGCAAGAATAATAAAAAAGTATCTATAGCTTTTATCCAATCATTGGAGTTTACTACACAATCTAATGATAAGTCACCTCTTACTTTGTTACTAGTTCACAAATCAATGAAATATTGGAAGAATAGAAGTAAAATAAATATATGAAACAATAGAATACGAATCTTGAGAATTAAAAACATATGTTCAAAACTAAGTTACATCATCGTCCCAACTACTGGTTTGGTTATACATCATATGGATGAAAAGTACAAAAAGATTTTGGAGTACATCATAAGGAAAAACGAGAAAAAGATAATATTCTTGCACTAATAATTCACCTTCTTCATGCCACCTTTTTAAAATCCTAATTTTTTTTTCTTCTCCCTTGTATTTTCTCTTCTTTTCTCGTGTACGTACCGTGTTCTTCTCCCTTTATTTTACCTAGAATAGATCTTTATATAATGCTCCAACCGCCTAAAAAGGACCAAAATACCAGAGACTACAATAAAAACCTTGAATTTCTCCCTCAAAAATCGTGTTAGGGTTTATCCTATGATACTCAAGGAGTGCACAACGTACATCAGGTGTTCAATTGATAAATTGTAAATCAGGTGTCAAAACCATCCACGACGTCCCAAACCTCCATATTCCTATTATTGGTCCTCTCAATTTTAAAAATTTTGCAAATTAGTCCGCATTCTTTCGATAAGTTAAATTTCATTTTCGAAACTTGCAAATTCCAGCCGATTGCGCTATAAAGCTTCCTATCAATCTCATGTAATCTAATTAGTCTTTAACTACTCAAACCAGCACGATTAGACTCAAAATCTTCATTGTTGCTCCAAATACCTTCAAGTTTGGATTTCACTTATAATATTTATACTTATGTAAGTAGGAATTCGCTCAATTTACATATATAATTAAATTTGTAAGCCCGAATTAATGGTCAAAACGCACTTATCAGTTAGTAAAAAAGTTAGTAGAGTGTGGAACACGGTTTAGAATTTTTGGTTTTTATCAAATAACATTTTTGTATGACAAAGACTTGCAAATATGCAAGAAAATTCAAAATTGACCATCAATGCAATTGCCCAAAATGGAAGACTTTAGCCCCTGTTTTACGAAGAGTTTTCACTTTCTTAAACAGTGCAATATTCATGAAAAATTTCTGCACCATCTGACAGGTAATAACTCCATTCAATGTATTGACAGTCGGTCAATAAATTGATTTTTCAATTTTGTCCTCAATTGCACAATTCCATTTTACTACTATGTACTTTTTGAAACCCATCCGTGTCGGCATGCAGACACCAGAAATTGGAGGGTAGTTTTTGAAAAAGCCAAAAATTTGGGATTCAAAATAAAAAAACACATGTGAACAAAAATTCAAGTAAATAACAATAAAAAACAAATTTTGAGCCCGTGATAAGCAGAAGAGTGAAAAATCATAGATGAAATCCAATTGTCTCCCATAATTTTGTGTACCATATTTCTTTCATGCCTTGTCATATTAAAGTTTTATTTTTAATTTTTTATTGCAATTTGTATTTGCAAGTCTGGTATGTAATGCAATTCTATCAACGGCATTATCATTCACTTCAACAGCCAACCATTTTATTATTTTCGAAGAAGATAATGAAAAAATCATGTCAACTGTCTTCCACTCTTGTTTTCTTTCTTCTTAATCTTTGCTAGTTTCTTTCGACTTGGAATACCTGCAAAGACCACAAGTGTGGCAGATCCAGCACTTGGTGGGCCCCGCGATCGCGCTTGCTGAATCAGTCGGGAGCGTTTTTTTTCTTTTTCCTTTTTCTTTTTTTTTGGTTGACAATAGATAAATTTTTAGCTTATATTACTGATATAAGCTAAAATGGTTAGACCTTACATTTTTAGCTTATAATTCTCCTTTCTTTCAAGAGCCCCATTTGGCTAAAATGGTTAGACCTTCCTTACATTTACGTTTTACAAGTCTCAGGCTCGAATCCCTTCACAACCAATTTTGCGATTTTTTTTTAGTTTCACAATTTTTACCAAAATTAATGCAATAGGAAGGAGTTAGATAAGATTTGAACCCATGAGCCCCTGCTCTGAATATTAAAAGCCTTACCACTCTGGCATCCTTTACTTTTAACATTGAATTGAACAAAATAATATATAGGTTTAATGAAATTATAAATATTCGAAATCGTGCTCTTCCTTTAATTTATACAAAACTTGGCAACAATGTCATTTGGTGAATACCATTTATTCTTATAACAAAATTATATATGTTCAATATGAACAAAATAATTGTTATATTTAAATTTTAGGCTTTGTTTTATTTTCATTTATTTTAAAATATATTTTTATCTATCTTATTTTTAACTATACATTCTTCAATAAAATAATATTACACACAAATTCAAAACTTTTCCTTATTTTTAACCATATATTCTCCATGAAATCACTATTTCAAAATGCATTTTTTGCTAAAAAAAGGACACCAAACGGGCTTTTAATACTTTATTGTGGCTGACAATCGACGATCGACGACCGCCCATGCTGACTAAAAATCTTGGATTCACCACTGACCACAATTCTTGAGTTCCAGTACAATGGCAGATCAAAACTACTTGGTAAGTGCATCACATCTTTCCCATTTACTTCTCATTCATTCTACGATTGTAAAACGAATAATTTAGTTGCTATTGTTTCAAAAGGCTGGTGTATATGCGTCCTTTTGTTTAGATGTCAAATTTAACTATTTATAACTCCTATTTGAATAAAGCAAAAGTTGATGACAATATTCTGATTAATCTACTATTAACCAAGGAAAATAAGAACAAATAAAAGATCAAATATGATGGTTAAAATATTGCGACTTACAATTTCACCGTAGCATTCCCTGTAATTTTGCTGCTCAAGTTCAATTCTTAAAGTTGTATTGGGTTGAATTTACTAATTAAACAATTAAATCAATTTACTGTGTCCAGAGTTCAAAATAGAATCTTGGGTCAACTTACTATTTCTCTATGAGAATTCATATAAGCCTACAATAAACGCAACTAAATCATCTTGGAATTTAATTAATTAAAAACGCAACAATAACCAAAATGTGTCTATAAGTTTTATCAATGATTGGATTTTACTATGTGATCTAACTATAACTTGCCTCTCAGCTTGTTATCAATTCACAAATCGATGAAATATTGGTCAATATTTCAAAGCATGAAGAATATTAGTAAAATCAATACATGAAACATTTAAATATGAGAATCTTGATAATTGAAATAAAATGTTCAAAACTAAGTTACATCGTTTGTCTCGACTATTGATTTAGTTATATATCGTTAATGGATGAAGAACACAAAAAGGTTTTGGAGTACATCATCGGATTTAAAGGAAAAAGAGAGAGATTATATTCTTGAACTAAGATTTCACCATCTTCACGCCACGTTCTTGAAACCTAATTTGTTTGTTTGTTTGTTTGTTTGTTTTTTTCTCTCTACTCCATTGTATCTTCTATTCTTCTCGTGTGTGTATAATGTGTAACCATGTGTTTTCTACTTTGTTTGACCTAATATAGATCTTTATTAGTTCTCCGGCAGCCTAAAAAGGACCAAAATACTAGGAAAATGAAATTTACAAAACTTGAATTTCTCCCCCGGATAGGCCATGGTCAGGCCACGGTTTGCATACCATGAGCGAACCATGGTAAACAACCCAAATATAGTGGTTGTGGTCTGCTAATAACTTGCAACCTCGGTTTGCAAAGTGCAATCGGGTTAATCCCATGATACTAAAGGAACATGGCGTCATATCTCAAGGGTTCAACTCATAAAATCGTAAAACGGGTCCAAGTTTTGAGTTATTAAAAAAAAAAAAAAAAAAAAGAGAAGAAAATCATTAACTTCCTATTTGCTGCTAAAAAATTGACTCTGGAAGAAGTCTGGCAACTATCAACTTTTTATACTTTGGTTCCTAATCCAAGTTTTTCGTACAAATTTGATCATTTTAATCAAATCTTCTGTATTGATCTTGCAAATTTCAAAAGCATCCACGATGGTCCCAAACCTCCATAATCATCTAAAATAGGTCCTCTCAAGTTTTAAAAATATCCAACTAGTTCCCAAACTTTCAATAAGTTGAATTTCACTCTTGAAACTTGCCACATCCCTCTGATTTTTCTCTTAAAGCTCCTCGTGCAATCCATATAGTCTTTAACTGCTCGAACCAACTCTAGTTAGATTCAAAATCTTCCTTTTTGCTCCAAATACATTCTAGTTTGGATTTTACTTACAATTATAATATGTAGAAATTCACTCAATTTACAAATATAATTAAATTTATAAGCCCGAATTAGCATTCAAAGCACACTTGTCAGTTAGTAGAAAGGTCAGTAGAGAGTCAAAAGTGATTTGGAATTTTTGGTTTTTATCAATCACATTATTGCATGACCAAGACTTGCAAGTCTGGAAGAAAATTCAAAATTGACAATCAATGCAAATGCCCCACTTGGAAGACTTCAATGGTCTCCCAAATTTTGTCAAGAATTTTTAATAGTCATAATGCGTGAATAAAAAATCAAGTAAATAACAATAAACAAATATTAAGCCCATGATCAGCAAAAGAGTAAAAATCACAGATGAAATCCTATGGTCTCCCAAATTTTGTGTACCATATTTATTTCTTGCCTTGTCACACTAAAAGTCAGTTCTTCTTGCAAATTGTAATTGCAAAGCTACTATATAATGCAATTGTATCAACGGCATTATTACTCACTCTAACAGCCAACCGTTTTATTATTTTCAAAGAAGATGTTAAAGAAAAATCGTATCAATTTTCTTCCACTCTTGTTTTCTTTCTTCTTAATCTTTGCTAGTTTCTTTGAACTTGGAACACCTGCAAGGACCACAACCCTTGAGTTCCAGTTCCAGACCAGTGGCAGATCCAAACTACTTTGTACTTCTCATTCATTCTACACGATTTGAAAAAATAAAGGCCATTCCATCTTTTCCCTGCATTATGATATGAATTACTTAAAAGTGGGGTACTCAATTCTTGGGTCGAGACTTTTCATCGATGCTTATTTCTTTTTCGTCTTGCCTCTTTTTGTGATTGTAGATGAATCATGGAATACTGACGGTGGTGTTTGTGGAAGGAAATCGCCACATGGTCCCAAGGGTATCATTTGTCCACCTCCACCATGAGAAATTATCGGCCTGCGTCTACAATAATCAAGTCAAAGATGCTGGATACAGTAAACCATATGTTATTGAACTTTATATGAGCTTGTTTTGAAACTTCTGCTGTAAGTTTAATCCTTTGGTGTGATAGTACAGAAGGAATAAGAATGACCAAGAAATCAGAAAGGAAATGAATCACATTTTATCCTGAAAATTTTATTTTTAATCTATTATATATATATATGCACCTATCCTTGTTCCAAATCACAGTAGAAAAGAAGTTTGTTGTTGTTACTTGTTACTGTACTGAATTCTGATAATTGTTGTTAATACAACATATATACAAGCCCCTTACCGGCGTAAACATATTCCAATTTGTCGCGGAAGATTTGACCCCAATGACTTCTCCGGGCTCAGTATAGATCCAACCAATCGACATCCTCAGGAAAACCAACCCCAAAACCTCTTAACCACTCCTCTTCAGTTGCTTTGGCTTGCCAATGGAAGACACACAAAGAGGAGTGTAATCACAGCCATGAAAGCAGAAGGGAAGGAAGAAAATGGGAAGTGCAAATCACAGAGAAGGCAGCCATTTTTACTCAACGACGGAGAAACAAAATTAACACCCGGTCACGCAAAACAAAGAAAAGAGGGGACAACAATATAAGGATCCATTAGGGTACAGTAATGTGCCAAGCCCAATATAGGTAAATAAGTGAATTAGGTATATCACTAAGTGAGCCGACATTTATAAGTCGCCCAAGAAGAGGGGAATGGGCCATGAGCAGGACTAAGTTGCTTCCAATGACCCAAATGGTTTTAGGGTCGGGTCGTTTTGATTGAGGTGTTGACTTTTTAGTACAATCATTTGGCCGATACCGACTAAGAAAATTATACCGAGTCACGTCTTCATCCAAGAGGTTGTTTTACATTAATTCGTCCAACAAATCACTACCTTGGTGTCAAAGGACCTTCAAGAAAACTTATCATCCATTAGTGACAATTCCAAAAGGAGAACTAATAAAATTGGAAATTATTTACCTTCGCTCATGTTTGGAAGATCCTTGGAACCTCTAAACTTCACAAATGGCAATACCTTAGTGTCCATGTCGAGGGGTTATATTGTATATGCACTTTTTCAAGTCTTACCATCTCTTGTGACACAATATCTCTAATGAAATGTAGCCTAGCATCAATGTGCTTGGCGCGTTCATGAAAAACAGGATTTTTACATAGATGAATAAAAAAATTGACTATCAGAATATACTACTACATAATAATTTAAAACATAATACATGAAGCAAACCTCTAATCTACAAAGCCTCTTTAATTACTTAAGTGGTAGCAGTATATTCTAATTTTATCGTGGACAGTGCAACTATGTGTTGTAATCATGATTTCCAACTAACGCAAGAGTTAGACAAAGTAAATATATAGGAGGAAGACGAGTTGGCTCGCGTGCCGAACTTTGAGGCTCGGCTCGAGTAAAACTAAGATGGGTTTTTTTGGCTCAAGCCAAGCCAACCCAAGAAAAAGCTCGACCCAAGCTTTCGGCTTGTGCCTTATATAGTTGAGCCGACTCGATATTTTGTTTTTTTAGTTTAAAGGAAGCTCTACCTCTGGCCCCGCTTGTCGTTCCAAAATGGGGCTTAACCTGAGCCTTGACTTGGTTCTACTGTACCTTGAGCTAGGCCGACTCGGGTTTTTTTCGGTCGAGCCACGGAGGACTAAGATGGTGAGCCGAATTGCCATCCCTACCTTTAAATCAGAAATCTTCTTTACTTGCTACAATGGTAGCAATATATTCTAATTCTGTTGTAGATAGTGCAACCATGTGCTATAATTGTGTTTTCTAACTAATGAAAGAGTTAGACAAAGTAAACATATATGAGGAAGATGATTCCTATTGTCCCTATCCCCATACAGTCTGCATCCGCGAAACCTTCAGTTTCACTCTTTCTTTACTAACATCAAACTTTCTAGTCCCTTTCAGATACCTTAACAACCACGTTAAGGCTTCCCAATGCTTAAGACATGGATTAGACATGTACCTACTAAGGGTACAAACATCAAAAGCTAAATCCGATCTAGTATAAACCATCAACTACATAATAGATCTAGTCACATTAGAATATGATATCCTATTTGATGTGAACCCACATAGCAACGATGGCTACGAAACCAACAACTAGATTGTTAGAACCCCAGAAAAGCCGAATTAAAGGTTTGTAAGTTTGAACCAAAGAAAAGTGAACCAAGAAACCCAACAATAACGGTCATTGAAAGACCCCTTGATTACACGATTGGAAGATTTCTTTCATTTCGCTCTTGTGGCTCCACTCTCTTTTTCTCTCTACTAGCTGCCTTGCTATTTTCTCTCTTATTCACCACTTCCCTATTTTCTCTCTTACTCACCACCTCATTATTTTTCCTCATTTTCTCTAACTCTCTCACTCTTCACTCTTCTTCATTTTTCAATTTGATTTGGCCGTCATACACTTGTGCTGGTGTTAATGGCGCAAGGATAATGAACCTCCCGTCCTTGACAAAGTTATAGCGATTCTTGTACCCGTCATGAATAATATTCCTATCATATTGCCACTGTCTTCCTAACAAGAGATGCTCCCACATGCATAGGTACCACATCACATACTACTTCATCGTGGTAACTACCAATTGAGAAATTTATTAGCACCCTTTTATTCACATTAACCTCTCCCCTTTCGTTTAACCACTCTAACTTAGAAGGCCTAGGGTGTCTCAATAATGTTAATCATAATTTCTCAACAAGTGTTGTGCTAGCGACAGTCGTGCAACTCTTACCCTTAATGATTACGCTACATACCGTATTGTTAACCTGTCATCGACTATGGAATATATTTTCATGCTGCTGCTCCAAGTAGTCCATCTTGATTTGAGTGTTAAGAGCTCGTCTCACGACCAATAGCTCTCCAACAGCAAATTCCAATTTTTCACCATCACCAATTTCCTCCAACGCCAGCATGTCGTCATAATCGTCTTTACTTTCGCTCACCACCTCTCCATTGTCCTACAACACCATTGCCCTTTTGTTTGGATATTACGAAACGATGTGTCCCAAACCCAAGTACCTAAAACACTTAATGTCCCGACTTCTTGATGGTTGTGACTCTACTTTGGGTATGGTTTTGCTAACACCTTCCTCTTTCCCTTTTTGCCATTCCTTCCTTCCTTTAGGTACAACCCCATCATCTTTGTTATTATCTCACTTCGATTTCCAAGATGAATTAGAAGCCGAAAACCCCAATGTTTGCCTAGTTGTCCCCTTTCTCTTCAACCATCTCTCTACCTTCATGGCCACGTGCAACATGTCTTCTAACTTAACATAATGCTACAACTCTACCACATTAGCAATTTCCTTATTTAACCCATTCAAGAACCTTGTCATACAAGCTTCCTGATCCTCTTCCACATTCATTCTAATCATTAGTATTTTCATCTCCTTGTGGTAATTTTCCACACTCTTTGACCCCTGATACAAATTCTACAATTTTTGATGGATTTTCCTATAGTAGTGAATAGGAACGAATCGTTTTCTCATGATCGCCTTCAACTCATTCCAAGTATTAATTGGCCTTTCCAATTCTGACGTCGCGAAGTAACCACTCGACCCCCACCAAGTTATTGCGTAGTCAATGAACTCAAGAATCGCGATCTTTACCTTCTTCTCCTCCTAGTAGTTATGACTTTCAAAGATCAATTCAACCTTTCTCTCCCATTCTAAATAAGCCTCCGGTTCACTTTTCTCTTTAAATTGTGGAATCGCCATTTTGATCTTTCCCATGTTCCCATTTATCTCATCTCTATGATTATTCCTACCTTCTCTTTCGAACCTATCGCCTCTATTCCTTATCCGTCCCATCTTAATTCCATTAAACTCATTCTCATCACTATCATATTCATACTCCTCTTGCCTCTCTCTTCGAGGCTCCCATCTACCCAGTCCCCTAGCATTATATACGTCAACCCGTTGCCCCTACTAAGATTAGCCACTAATGTATCTAACTGTCATCTAAGCTTTCTGTTTACCTATCTAAGCTTCCTGTCTATCCATCCTATCTCTCACATCCCCTAGCGCCCTTTCAAGCCGTAGTATCAAATCTTCTAATGCATTGTTGTAATGGCCGTTTCGGATTGAACTGGAATCTTCTCTTTTAGACATCCTAATTCTAGAAATTTTTGAGCCTCACCGGTATTAACTTGGAATCACACAATATGGTTTTCACCCTCTATTAATCTCACCATTTTACCTTTTATCGCTCGGTGTTTTCGTCCAAGTATTTCAAAGAACAAAGTGAACTTAAGAAATTTGAACTCGTGGATTCTCAACCAAATGGAAATCAAGGAATCTGATTCAAAAGGATTCGAACAATTGGATTGCAATTCAAATGGAAACTAAAGAAGATCCAAAAGATTAATTCGACACAAACTTGAAATAATTGACAAAGACTCCTAAATTGATTGAAAACAATAAACTTGACTTGAGAGAAATTAAAAGATGTTGGTAGTAAATCGAACAACAACAATAATAATTTCTTTTTTTTCCAGCTCTTTCCTTTTTTTCTTTTTTTTTTCCCTTTTTGGGTTCTTTCTTTTCTATTTCTTTTTCTTTTTTTGAAATGGGTTAAGACTCAAATAATGAAAAACAAACAAGAATGTGGGGAAGAAATGAAGGAAACAAGGATTAAAAGACTCAAACTTAACGATTCATAAAGAACACAAGGAAAGATAAGAAAAAATGCGGAAACAAAGAACAAAGACTTACAAAGAAAAATAAAAAGATATAACCTATTAATTTGGAGCATGTGTTCTGATACCAACTGATGCGAATCCGTGTAGCAACTATGGCTACGGAACCCGCAACTAGATTATTAGAATCTCATAAAAGTCGAATTAAATTTTTTTGAGTTTGAACTCAAGAAAAGTGAACCAAGAAACCTAACAGTAATGGTGATTGAAAGACCCATTGATTACACGATCAAAGTCCTGCACCCGGATTTGAGAACGCCACAAGAATGTAATCCTTCATAAGTTCAAAGTGTTCAAAGAAAAACAAGAGTTGAAAGCAAATAACCTTGCTATTGAATTCTCTCAAAGTAATAATGTAATGTTGTTTACAATGAAGAAAGATAACTTATTTATACTAGTCTCAAAAGCCCTAAAAATCTATTAGAAAACGGAAAATATTTATCTAAGATTACAAGAATTTAATCAAAATTAGAATTCTAATAAAACATGGAAAGTCACGGAAAAGGAAACTTT